ACTTTTGTGGATGATCATTCTCGTATGACTTGGTTGTTTTTAATGAAAAATCGTTCTGAGTTATTCTCTATTTTTCAAATATTTCGCAAAGAAATCAAAACTCAATTTGGATGTTCCATTAAAGTTTTACGTTCTGACAATGCCAAAGAATATTTCTCGGACCCGTTTGAGACTTATTTTCATGCTAAAGGCATCATTTATCAATCATCTTATACTTATACTCCTCAACAAAATAGAGTAGCTGAACGTAAAAATCGTCATCTCCTCGAAGTATGTCATGCCCTTTTATTCCATATGCATGTTCCCAAACGTTTTTGGAGTGATGTTGTTCTTATAGCCTGCCATCTTATTAATCGGATGCCTTCGTCAATGTTAAAAGGGAAGTCTCCTCATTCTGTTCTATTTCCCGACCCTGCATCGTTTAATCTTACTCCTTGGGTCTTTGGATGTGTGTGTTATGTCCATAACCTTAGGCCCAGTCTTGACAAACTCGACCCCCGTGCCACTAAGTGTGTTTTCTTGGGTATTCTCGCACTCAGAAGGGTTATCGTTGCTACAGTCCTCATTTTCAGCGCTATTTCACTAGTGTTGATGTCTCCTTTTCTGAGTCTCTCCCATTTTTTTCTGATTCTACTACCCCTCTCGATATTACTCTAGCGCTACCTATACCAACTGTTTCCTCTCTGCTTCTTGCTTCCCCACCTCCTTGCTCTGTTGTCTCCTTGTAGGTTTATACTCGACGACCTCAACCGCCTACTTCGCTCTCTCCATCTCCTTCAGAGTCTTCGGATCCGACGCCTTTACCTGATGATTTGCCCATTGCTCTCCGTAAAGGTATTCGGTCGTGTGTTACTGCACATCCCATTTCTAACTTTGTCTCCTACCATAATATTTCCTCCTTTTTATCTTGTTTTTTTATCCAAAATGTCTGCTACGTTTATTCCCAAGACTTTGCAGGATGCTCTTTCTAATTCGGATTGGCGTAACGCCATGGTAGATGAAATGGATGCCCTGCGCCATAATCGGACTGGGGATCTTGTTCCCTTACCTCCGGGCTCCAAAACGGTTGGTTGTAAGTGGGTCTATACTGTTAAATACCTTCACAATGGGTCTATTGAGCAGTCGAAGGCTCGTCTGGTGGCAAAAGGGTACACTCAGACTTATGGTATTGACTACGATGAGACCTTTTCTCCCGTTGCTAAGATTTCTTCTATTCGGGTACTTATTTCCATTGTTACCAATTGTCACTGGCCTTTGTTTCAATTAGATGTCAAGAATGCCTTCTTGCATGGTGACTTAGTTGAAGAAGTTTATATGGAGTAACCACCTAGGTTTGTTGCTTAGGGGGAGTATCGTCACACTGTTTGTCGCCTTAAAAAGGCCCTGTATGGATTAAAACAATCTCCGCGGGCTTGGTTTGGCAAATTCTCTTAGGCGGCATTAGAATTTGGTCTTAACAGATGCCAGACCAATCATTCGATGTTTCACCAGCGCACTAAAGCTGGCTTCATTTTTCTTGTGGTGTATGTAGATGATATTGTGATCACGGGTGATGATTCTGAAGGCATTGCTAAGTTGATGTTGTTTCTGCAAAATCGATTCCATACTAAAGACTTGGGTAAACTTAGGTATTTCTTGGGTATTGAAGTTGCTAGATCCAAGAAGGGTATAAGTTCATCTCAACGCAAATATGTGTTGGACTTGTTAGAAGAAACAGGTATGTTGGGTGGTCGTTCAGTTGATGCTCCTATAGATTCAAATATAAAACTTGTGTCTGATGAGGGTGATCTATTTAATAACCCGGGCAGATTTGGTCGCCTTGGTGGGAAATTAATTTATCTCACTATCACTCGACCTGATATTTCATATGCAGTTAGTGTTGTAAGTCAGTTCATGGGAGCTCCTAGAATGCCACATTAGTTTGCTATTCTTCGGATTATCTGATATCTCAAGCAAGCTCCAGGTTTTGGGTTACAATATAAATCAAATGGTCATCTCAGGGTGGAAGGTTTTTCAGATGCTGACTGGGCTGGTTCTTTTTCAGACAGGCGATCTACTACAGGCTACTGCACATTTGTAGGAGGAAATCTTGTTACATGGAAAAGTAAAAAGCAAACGGTGGTAGCTCGATCTAGTGCTGAAGCTAAGTACAGGGTAATGGCCCATACAACTAGTGAGTTGACTTGGGTACAACATTTTCTAAAAGAACTTGGGTTGACAGTTGAAACTCATACTCCATTGTTCTGTGATAATCAAGCAGCTGTTCACATTGCATCAAATCCTGTGTTTCATGAGAGGACCAAACATATTGAAGTTGATTGTCACTTCATTCGAGGAAAAATATTAAGTGGGAGCATCTCTACTTCATTTGTGAAGTCTGAAGATCAGTTAGCTGATATGTTTACCAAAACATTGGGTCATAATCGGTTAAGGACTATCTGTACCAAGCTGGGATTATTTGATATATACTCTCCAGCTTGAAGGGGAGTGTTAGAATATTTTGGGTCATTATGTAATTACATATAGTTGGTAGGGTCATTGTGTAATTAGCTGAGACCTGTACTCTATATAAGCCACTGTAGTAGGGTTTGATATATATGAAATACACATTATGTATCCACTGTGTTCTCTCTCTCTCTCTCTCGCTAGTCGCAACAATAACAATAATATCCATATATATATATACACGCAATCAATATAAATATATATATATATCCAATGCCCATGGGTCGTAATCCTTACCCATCTAGGCTTCCTATCCAAGTAGTTTATGAGCCCCATTTGATTGGTCCCTTACTACTATCCAAATCCATTCCTTTTAAATTAAAATAAAATAAAATACAAGCAGATAATTAAAACATTTAACTAAGAGATAATTTCAAACAAGTACACAATAAAGTCACATAGATCACACTACACAAATACACACAAAAAAACCAACAATACACATCAAACAATTAAATCATTTAAGCACATAACATATAAACACATAGCCACATAATTAAATTAAATGAAATAAAATAAATAATGAAACCCCATTTATATCCTTTTGAAAATTAGAGGTATTACACAATCCTTGTGGTTCGATACCCTTTACGTAGTTGTATCCTACAGGGACTCGTGCTATTGCGAGTGTTTTTTAATTGAAAAGAATATCAATTCGTATATCACATCAATTTTTGGCGCTGTTTCAGGGGATTGCATTAATGGTTTTGTCGTTAAGTTTAAAGATTAAATCTACTTTAGTTCTTAGATTATGAATTGTATATAGTTGGTTTTGACATTTTGTTGTTGTTTGTGCATTGTGTAGATACGAAGGTCATCAATTTGTAAAAAGAAAATGGAAATTTTCGGGACCTCAGGTAAATTTTCGAATCTCTTTGTATGCACTCTTGATTTGTTTGTATATATTGATAATTTGTGTGTATGCTGGGTTGTTGTTCATTATCTCTTCCTTTGCTCAACGACTACCTTGATATTGTTTTACTTGAAAGAACTCTTAGACAACTTAGACGGAACCCTAGGAATCCCGAATTGTTAGGAGAACAAGAAGCTGAAAACAACAACATGGCTGCCGATAGGAATGAGATACCAATGGTCCTTAGGGATCATTTCATACCAACCACATACACTTCTCCTTCATGCATCCAAATGCCCACCATTGGTGCACAGCAATATGAAATTAAATCCAGCGTCATTCAAATGTTACCATCATATTCACAAATTTGAAAATGAAGATCCCTAAAACATCTTGATGAATTCTTAGAAATCTGCTCTACCATCAAGATGCGGGATTTTCCTCAAAATGCTTTGCACTTGCATCTATTCCTATTTTCTCTAAAATAGAGAGCAAAGTATTGGTTGAATTCCTTGGTGACAAATTCTATTACTTATTGGGACCAAATGCAACATGAATTTTAAAGAAGTACTACCCTATTGGAAAGACCTACCAAATGCGCTGCTTAATTCTCAGCTTTTCCCAAATAAATGGGGAACAATTTTTTGAAACATGGGAAAGATTGCAAGAACTCCTAAGGAAATGTCCGCACCATCAAATTCCAAAATGGCAATTGGTGCAAGATTTCTATGATGGCTTAACCGAGTCACATAGGCAATTGGCTAACTCTTCTTGCGGTTGCATTTTCATGTCCAAAAATGAGGACGAAGCTTGGACTCAACTTGAGAACATAAGTGAAAATTCTACGCAACATGGTTCCCGTAGAGCTAGCAAGGGTGCAAACCCATGTCAACCACGAAGCATGAGGAAGGAATCTTCTCAAGTAGATGCCATAGATCATAAGGTTTATCAACTTAAGACATCTCATCTTCCGCCTCCTCTTCTTCCTTCCAACCCATCTCATGAAGTTTGTGCATTTTGCTCAAATCCTTCTCATCTAGGAGATTGTCCCACAACGGGAGAATTTTTTGAAAATAATCAAGAACAAGTTAATGTAGCATTCTCCAAATCGGGGTATAATTCATATTCTAATACCTAAAATTCGGAATGGAGAGATCATCCGAACTTCTCGTGGTAACAACAAGAAGCCACGCAAAATTCAGCTCTGCCTCGTGGACCAACCGTCAATCCAACTTTCAATCAAAGTGAATGAATCTTTAGCTATTGCAGAATCAATCTTATTCTTTGGTACCTTTGAATTAAGGAAGTTTGATTGATTAAGGAAATGGGTATTAGAGTATATGGTAATGATTTAAGGAAGTTTGATTTCAACAAACTTCCTCAAACTTCCTAAATCAAACTTCCTTAATTCAACTTTCAATCCAATAGCCAGCCTTTCAAATCCCCTTCGAGCCAACCGTCAATCCAACTTTCAATCAAAGTGAATGAATTATTAAATCTATCATTCTCATGGATGGGATGATTTATTTTTTTACTAATAAGTTAAATTGAAGAAAGATTAAAAACTTTGACTCTTTAAATGAAATTTATTTTGAAACCGCAAAAATGAAAAGGTACAAGGAGAGGGGTACAAGGTTTGTCCTCGAGTAATGCAGAAATTTCTCGCAAGTTTCTTACAACTGAGTTTGTTGGCTCCTCTTTTGCCGCGTCCAGTTCCTACTGAGTCAGACTCGTAAAGTTCCTTAACTTGCCCTAGAGAGAGAGCTGGACTTCTTGCTCGGATGCTGGTGAAAGAAGAACATAAATTGATACTCATGGATTGGTCTTCCAGCTGCTAGTCCAAAATGTCATCTTCTTCATCGGTTCCTAGCCGGTACGAGTCACAGAAGAGCCGAGACTGGAACACATTTGGCGAGTACCTACGAAACCATAGGCCTCCACTCTCTCACTCCCTAGTAAATGCTAACCACATCATCGAGTTCTTACGGTATCTTGACCAGTTTGGCAAGACCAAAATTCACATCGGCACCTGCCCCTTCTTCGGTAAACCAGATTTGCCTGCACCGTGCCCTTGCCCGCTCCGGCAGGCCTGGGCATCCCTCGATGCCCTCATAGGTCGCCTTCGAGCCGCCTATGAAGAGAACGGTGGGAAGCCGGAGAAGAACCCTTTTGGTTCCAGAGCAGTGCGGCTCTACCTAGGCAAAGTCCGCGATTCACAGTCCAAATCGAGGGGGATACCTTATGGGAAGAAAAGGACGAAGAAATCATCGCATTTTAAAGCCAATTATAGTGGTAAGGCCCTAAATTTTTATCAACCATATATAGGTATATATATATATATACACACACACACACACACACACTCGTATATATGGAGTATGAGACATTAGAACTAGATCTTCTACCATTTTTATTGCTTTAGTTAAATGTGTATTTTCATTTTCTCATTGTTTGTTTGAAATGGGTATTAGAGTATATGGTAATGATTGATAATGCTCTTTAGCTATTGCAGAATCAATCTTATTCTTTGGTACCTTTGAATTCAATCTTAATGGAAACAGTAGGGTTTGGACAAGCAATATCGGTGATGGAAATGGAAATATTGGCAGAAATAATGGTAGCATTTCGTAGCACATAGAAGCACCTTGTCCTTCTTTATCATACTTTAATTGATCATGCCTTGTCCTTCTTTATCATACTAATTTTAGATACACCGATCATGACTTAATTCTCTATGAAATTTAGAAAGAAAATTAAAAATTAAAAATAAAAAAACAGAAATTCCTTCTACATTCTCTCATCAACTAGACTTGGCTTGTCCTGTTCCTTTTGACTTGGCTTGTAAAGTTAACTTAGATGTCCAGTTGTTTCAAGCTTATCAATTTCCAAATCCAGAGGAAGAAAATTTGCAGATCCATTGCCCAAACTAGATAGAGATCCAAGCTTCTTGTATGATTTTATCTGTAACAGACTCGGAGGCTGGTGAAAGATAATCGTAAATCATTATTTTCATTTCTTTTTTTGTTTTGTTTTGAATTTATCAATCTCTCACCTATTGATATGGTCATTCTGGAGGTGAAGATGAAGTCCTAAAGGACTCAAGCACTACTACAGAAATTGATTTTGATCACTATGAAGTGTTCTTGAATTGCACAACCTCAGACACTAGCTACACCTTCTGCAACGACCTGTACGATCATATCAACTGCGTACAAGTCTGCACCTTTTGGGACAATTACGTCTCCTCTCGTGAAGAAGAGGAGATTGGATCAGAGCTCCTCAATGCAATCTGTGCGTCAAAGATCTCAATCCCAATACTCTCCAAAAACTATGCTTCCAGTAAATGGTGCCTCCGTGTGCTCACTCACATGGTGGAGTGCAAGAGAAGCATGGGACGATTGATTTTGCCCATCTTCTATGACGTTGAACCCTCTGAAGTGAAGCATCAATCTGGGAGTTATGAGGAAGCCTTTCACAAGCACATGAAATGTTCTGACGAAAGAACTGTTGAGGAATGGAAGGAGGCACTGAGAGAGGTTGGGGCACTTAAGGGTTGGGAAGTGAAGGAAGAAAGGTCTGATAATTCATTCCTGCTATTAATCCCGTTTTCTGTAGTATAGAATCTTCATTCTAGATAATCTTGGAATTTAAGTAATAACAAGCAATATTCGAAGAGGAGGTTCAGGTAATGGAAGGGATAAATTAACGATCAAATTAGACTTGCAGATATAAAAATATAAGAACTTTAAGATTGTTGGTTTGCTTTGTTAGCTAGTCCCTAAAATAATTTACATCTGTTATATAATCCAAAATATTTACAAAAATAATAATAACATAAAATAAAACGAAAAAGTATAAAAATCGTTGTCCTTTTCCTTTATTTTTAATTTTTTTTTTCCTGTTATACATTAATTATTTGTTCTGTTCACATCAATCAGGTATTGATGAAGACTAATAAAAGAGGAGATCTTGTAATTATGCTGATCATTAACTAAAAGAAGTCGAAGTAATTATTTTCCCACTCTACCTTTTATTATAATTTTCCTTCTATGAACTAATTTTGTTTTTGCCTTGCATCAATCAGGTATCAACACAAATTAATAAAAGAAATGATTGTTCCAGCAGTGTTGTTGGAGTTAACAAAGCAGATCATGGATGTACCTGACTACTTGGTTGGAATGGATCATCATCTAGATAAAATGATGGGATTATTAAATGTTGGCTCCAATGAAGTACAAATTGTTGTTATTGCTGGGATCGGTGGTATTGGCAAGACATCTATTGCCAAGTTCATCTACAATGAACTCATTGAGAGCTTTGAATGTCATAGCTTCCTTGCAGATATTCGAGAGACAGCGCAGCAGCGCAATGGTATTGTTGATTTGCAGAAAAAGCTTCTCACTGACACTGTAAAATGGTGTCCTGACATTTCTGATGTTGAAGGTGGAATGGATGTGATTAAACACGTATTTCGCAGAAAGAAAGTTCTTCTTGTTCTTGATGATGTGATTGAAATCTCTCAATTTTATTGGCTTGTGGGAAAGCATGACTGGTTTGGTTCAGGAAGTAGGATCATAGTTACAAGTAAAGACAGGAATGTTTTAAAGGATATTAAAGTGAATGGGACTTATGAAACTCCAGTTATGAATCCTGTGCAATCTCTTAAACTTTTCAGTATTCATGCTTTTAGAAGGGAGTCTCCTCCTGAAGACTATGTTAGTATCTCTAGGGAGGTTGCATCTAATGCTGCAGGGCTTCCTCTAGCTCTTGAGGTCATGGGTTCATTTCTCTCTGACAAAGGGATAAAGGATTGGGAAGATACATTGAAGAAGCTGAAGAAAATATCTCATGATGAAGTCGAGAAAAAGTTGATGGTAATTTATGAAGCATTAAGTGATGTGCAACAAAATATATTTCTTGATATATCATGTCTTTTTACTGGGATGGATAAAGCAACTGTATTTTACATGTGGGATGATTGTGGCTATCATCCAGAAATGGAATTTAATGTCCTTTGTCTCATGTCTCTCGTAAAAGTGGAAAACAATACTAATGAGCTGAGGATGCATGATCAGTTTAGATCTCTAGGTAGGAAAATCGTCTATGAAGAAAAGATTTTGGGAAATCGTAGTAGGTTGTGGAACCACAAGGATGCCTTGTATGTATTGGAGGGACGGAAAGTAAGATTCAAGTGTACTTGAATTTTATACCCATTCTTTAGTTAAATTTTGTTGGTTGGGAAACCTGGTCCTAATATATTGTTTACTTATTATTCCATTGCCAGGGAACTGAAAAGGTTGAAGCCCTGAGTCTTTGGTTTGTATTGGGTTCTGGAAAGAAGCCTCGCTTCGCAAGTAAGGAATTTGCAAAACTAATATCTCTAAGGTATCTCCGAGCTGATGGCATAGAGCTTGTTGGGGATTTTAAGCATCTGTTTCCCAATTTAAGATGGCTTAGTTGGCGTGGTTGCCCTCCGCAATTTAAAGCAACCAATTTTCATTTCAAGAATTTAGTCATTCTTGATCTATCCGATAGCGGCATCACAGAAGACTGGGGGGGTTGGAATCAAATCAAGGTGTTGTATAATATCTCTACTTTTGTTTCTTCTATCCCACCTTCTACTTGTTTAAAATTAGTTGTTTTCTGTTATTCGCTTAATTTCTTTTTTTTAATAAGTATTATTCGTTTAATTTCTTAACAGATGGCAAATAAGTTGAAAGTTCTACAACTGACTGATTGTGCTTTAAGGAGAACTCCAGACTTTTCATCATATGCAAGTCTAGAGATATTGATTCTTCGACGTTGTAGAAATTTGGTTGAAATTGACCGATCCATAGGTTGTCTGAAGAATTTAGAAGTGCTGGACATTTCATATGCTGATATAAGGGAGTTACCTGATGAAATTCTGGAGTTACAGAAGTTGAAAGTGATAGGTTTTAAATATTGAAGTTATTTGAAGACAATCCTAGTAATATGGGGTATCCATACCAAAATTTGAATCCTGCAATGAGCATTTGAGAGCTCTCTTGCCTCCACAGCCTTAAATTGAGAGGCTGCATAGAGCTTCAATCGCAGGTGGAGGGTCAGTCAAATTTAAGGAGTCAGTCAAATGTCTGCATAGAACTCCAGACATTTCTTACAATTTCTACTTGATTTATGTGAGTTTCACTTTAATGGGGGCTGTGAGCATGTGGAGACTACTAGAAGTTGCATTTATGCTTACGTACGTTCAAAGGGCTTGAAAATTTGGAATCATTGAAATTGCTGGAAAAAAAAAAAAAAATGAGAGTTTAGTAGGGGTGGGTTGGACAGCCCATGTTGCACCCCTAGAGGAAAAAGTTGCACCCCTAGAGGAAAAAGTATAGAATGCTGTTTATCAAAATAGGGGTGCAATTTGGGCGGTCCCAGCCCAACCCAAATTTAGTACATAAATTTTGAAATTTGGGCTTTTAATTTCACAAATCGGGTTCAAATTAGATTGAGTTTCTCAAAATTTAAGCATATTCGGGTTGGGCTCGGGCTCAACCCAAACCCAACCCAAAACCCACAAATAAAGAAAAAAAAAAAAACTTAAGAATTTTTTTTGGGTCTCCCTTCTCTCCTCTCTCTTCTCTCTCTCTCTCTCTCTTCTTTTCTTTATTTTTTCATTTCTTTTTTGCTTATGGTTCTTCAATTGTGCTGCCTGGGAAACTTCTGCGCATTTTACTGGCTGTTGTGGAATAATAGGCTACTGCTCTCACATTTCTGATTTTTTTTTTAATCTTTATTTTTTATATTTTATTCAGACTTATAATTTTAAATAAAAAACACCCTTAGTATGCGTTGATTAGAGATTAAAAAAAAATAAAAAAATTACTAGGTTTGCTGGCTCATAATTATCCGTGGTGGTACTTTGAGTGATCTCTTAATGCCAGTCCCATAAAAGGCAGTGAGGGAGAGTTGATTTTTACTTGAAAAATATTTTCAAAAGCCAAATAACAAAAAAGAAAAAATTTCGAAAAATATTTTCAAGATATCTGCCAAACACTAGAAAAAGAAAAAAAAAAAGCGAAAATAATTTACTATGAAAAGTTTTACCGAAAAATATTTTAAGGGCCTAATCTCATGACGTAAAATATTACTCTGTAAACTGTAATATCCAATTTAATTATATAACCTCTTGCACAAACTCAAAAAAACAAACCTCCTCCAACATTATACTTTTTTTAAATCCATTGAATCATTCTAATTTGTTTGTCAAATTTTAAAATTCTATAGGACCAATATAGATTTCTTATATATATATATATATGTATTAATGAATTAGTTATACTTAATTTGTGTATTGCACTGATCACCAAATAAATACAACTACTCCCCTATTCCTCGTTACACGTTTCTTTTATATTAGCTATATATATATATATATTAATGAATTATGTACTGTATCAATGTAATTTGCATATTTGTAAAAAAAAAAAAAAAAAACGAAAGAAAAAGAGGGGGGGACCCGTGAAACCCGTCTGACCCGTCCAAAATAATCGGACTGGGTTATGGACATAACCCATTTTAAATAGAATTTGGGCTAACCCAACCCAACCCGATTTCGGGTTGAGGTTGGTTGGGCCAACCCAACTTGCAGCCCTAGTCTTTAGGAATATGTTAATTCACTCTGTTTTCCAGCGTGCGTATTTAGGAACATGTTAATTTTGAAATGTAATGATATATCTTCTAAATTCCAAAATTAGAATTATGCAAGTGAAAGAGTTCAGAAGTTGTGGATGTTGGAAACGGGGCATACAAAACAGAAACTTTTGATGAAATTTGAAGTAAATTCCGCTAAGAATTATTTGCGAATTTATAGACGAGCGCATTCCTCTCAACAAGGAGATGATATATTTATTTTCTCAAATTCGTTTCTGGGTGAATGAGAAATTAATTCCAAAGTAAGGTGTTTGATAAGCTTTAATGGGTATGCAAAATGTGGGAAGTGTTTGTCCCACATGGAAAAAAAAATGATAAAGCCAATTGGTGTTTAAATAAGCCAAGTTTGGGCTTGGGCTTGATTGTGAAGTCAGGTTAATTTTTTATTGAACGGAATTTGGGCCTAATTAAATTTTGGGTTAGGCTTATTTAAATTGGTTGGGTTAAATTTAAATTAAAACCAGTTTCTGGTATTTGAATTTAAATTAAAAATCACTTTTTAGTTTTTTCCGAAGGGTTGCACTTACCCGAAAAGGTACCTTAAAGGGTTGCACCTACACGAAAAGGCACCTTGCTTAAAAACCACTTTTTAGTTTGTTTTTCTTTTCCAAAGGGTTGTACCCACCCGAAAAGGCACCTTGTTGCCTATAAATACCCTCATTTAGATTATTTGAAAATCACACCAATTTAGAATTCTCTTTTTCTAATTCTACATTCTCTCGTCCTTCTCTCTTCTTCTATAATCATCTCTAGGTTCGAGCCGTAGTCTGTCGGCTCGAGCCTTAGTCAGTGAGTTCGAGTCCGAGTTTAAGTCAGAGAGTGCTACATCGAGCCGTCCTTCGGTTTGCAATGCTACTACTGAAGGAAGAAAAGTCGTTATATCCTGGGAGATATATGTCATTGAGTACGCTAGCACCATAGCGGGGCGAATCTGTCTTAAAGACATAGAATCAAATTCTAGACTCGACTTATATTGTGACGGCCCTGGTTTTTCAAGCCAGTGCGTCTTGTAATGAACCGAAGATTGACCCGATAACGGATCAGAATGTGGAAGCGAAAATAGAAAATAAGACTCTAAAAAGTCAAAGTGACCTTCCATGAGGTCGTGGAACTCAATGAGACTGATGCGGAAGCAAAAGATCGAAAATATGACAAATAAGCCCCCAGGGGCAAAATAGTCATTTCTGAAAACTATCGACTCAGGTGCCACTGAGCATACCTCTGGAAGAACAACAAAAAACTAATCAATATGGACTCAAGAATCGCATGATTCGGAGTCCGGACGAAGGAGAAACTATATGATGAAGAAAAACGAGCACTTAAAGCAAAAGGGTAAACTGGTAATTATCTAAGAAGATTCGGGTGTAACCGAACACACCGTTGGAAAGACAGCAAAAAATTAGTCAAGTTCAAAAAAAAGTTCACTCGATTTGGAGTTCGGATGAGGGAGAAACGAGGGTTTGAAGTTGAGAAGTCGCGGCGGCCCGACGAAGGCCATGGCGCGCCTGGCGCCCAATGGCATGCACATGATGACAGCAAGAAGAAAAAATTGAGTGTCTAGAACTGAGGCTTGAAACGGAGGTCGAAACGAGTTTTTCTGGAAAAACACGAAGAAGAAACTCCCCCTAAAATCGAGTTTTCTACCCGACAATGTCGACGGAAACGAAAAAAATTCACTGTGAAATCCCCAAAATGCCCCTAGATCAGAACTGGACAAGAGGCAAAAAGCTGCTACAAGATCTGAGAGTAGAAACGGGTTAGAAGATGAATTTTTCTGGAAAAACACGAAAAATAAACCCATCCCGAAATCAAATTTTATACCTAGATACGTGTGAGAAAATGAAAAAAACTCGCTATAAAATGGCCAAAACGCCCTCTCAAGAAATCTGGTCAAGAGAGCTAAAAAACTGCTAAAATGAAAACTGGAAGCTGAAAATTCACGGTACCAAGACGACATTTTCTGAAAAAACACATAGAAGAAACCCCCCCTAAAATCACGTTTTCTAAGTTATCATGTGAAGACCAGAATTTATTTTCGGAAGGAAAACCCCAAAAGGCCCTAAAATTAGATTATGCAAGAAAATTTTAAAATGAGTCCATAGGAGGCTCAAATCACAAAGGAAATGGTTTTTCTCGAAAACGATCATGCACACAAACGTAAATGATGATTTTGAGCGCGCGGGAATGGTCCGTGGCTCCCAGAAATGGCTGAGTCAAAATCCGACCCCCCCGACGGCCAAAAAGGCGAAAATGAACTTGAAATGGAAAATATGGAAACCAAAATTGGGAAATGGTTTCAAATGACCATTTGGCCCTTGGCCACACTTCATATAAGATGAATGAGACCTAGTGGAGGTGCCAGAACACACTTTACACCACTCGATTTGAAAATGAACCCTTAAAGGCTCGGTTTTTACTATTTTAGCCCAAAAATGCAATATGTGAACTAAAATGCAAAAATGAAAACTAAATGGTGTTTGCCCCTTGGCCACACCTCATACACATTAAATGAATGTTAGATAATGAATTTCATACATAAAACACACTCCGGTGCAAAATAACATATTAAAACGCATGCTTTTTCACATATTCTCATTAAAGGCAAAATACAACCATTATGAATAAACATGGACTTCAAATGAAATTTAGCCCTTGGCCTTATATCATATACATAAAATGAGAATAAAAAAGTGTGCTTAGGCGCACATTACAAGTTTAGAATCAAATATACACATTTGACAAATAAGGCTACAGATGGCATTTCAAGCCAACCTTCACAAAAATGGAACCTTTAAGTCCACAAATCATCCGAGCATAATGAGAATCTCAACCTTGATTCCTGTACCTGAAATATGCCCCAGTAATTTTGGGGTGAGTAACATAAAGCTACTCGTAGGAAATGAGCATGCATCGACCTAATATTTTACAATTTTATCACCTTACGGTGAAACATGTCAAAGGGGCTCATGCCACCTAACATCTATGTCAAGATGAGACTCAGGGAGCATCCTAAGCTACCCTAGATCATTTCTAGTACAAATCACATCATCCATGCAATTCAAACAACATAGGAGCTTGCTATACAAAGCAATATGATATAAATTCTCAAAGTCATCAACTTGAAATCTAATATACAAAAAAGACAAAGGTGGGTCATGCCGCCTAACGTCTATATTCCAAATGAATCTATAGGATCATTCCTAAGTCACATTTGAACAATAAAACACGAATCACAATATCTATGCAATTTAACTAACATAGAAGCATGCTATACAAAGCAACAAGATATAGATTCTCAAAGTTATCAACTTGAAATCTAAAAGTGCGAAATCAACTAAATATAGCAATTTAGTATAATTAGAATTTCTGATACCACACATCAAGACATAGATTCTCTAGGTTATCAGCTAGAAATCTAAAAGTGCAAAATCAACTAAATATAGCAATTTAGTATAATTAGAATTTCTAATACCACACATCAAGACATAGATTCTCTAGGTTATCAACTAGAAATCTAAAAGTGCGAAATCAAATAGTGGAATACTTGGACATCTAAGCTCGG